AGAGATGATGGGACATTAATATATCATATATGTGCAATTATATTGAATTTTGGAAATTAAGATTTTGTTAAAACGTGAACAATAGCCACTTTATATTAATCTTTGACCGATTTTTATAATATATAAAATGATTTGAGAATTCTTTTTTTCATATTTACCCAATTTTCAGTATTAAACAAAATTTGAAGAGTTAATTATAATTAACATATATCACTGCATCATATTTGTATATGAGCACAATCACATTCTTGATAAAGATGTGTGTTGTATGATATTTCATGTATTTGCTATATGATTTTTTTCAACATTGATAAATAAATTATTAGACTTAACATATCAATGATTTTTTTTTAATTTTATATGATAGAAATATTACATATGAATACATCATTGCCAAAAATAGTAACATAAACGAAGTCTGGTTCATCAATAGATCAACAAAATAACTTAGGTCGTCATTTCAATTTCAAAAATATTAACTTTTTCCGTTTTGTTAATTGTTAATGTATTTTTTTTGTTGTCATATTTTAAATTTATTTTCATATTTGTAGGATTGATGTCACTAAACAAATATTGCAATTATGAGCTTGTTTGCGAGCGCTTTTTAAACAAAAAAAGAGGCTTTTTGAACCGTTAGAAGGAAATAAGGTTGTCATTGTTGACTTTTGGTCTCACGGGTGGGACCCACCAATTGAAAAAAAGGTCATCTTTAGTTTAAAAGCTATTGGAAATTTCTACCGGACAGGTAGTTTGAGACAGTTGAGCTCTCTTTTGATTGAACCCCATATTTTTTTTTCCAATTTTTAGCTCATTTTTCTTAGTTTTTGGACGGCTGCAACAGTGGGGCCTTTGACATTATTGCCTAAATGTGTACAGTTTCAAGAAAAGATGACAGACAAATTTCCAATAGGCCCAAACTACCCTTTTTTTTAATGGTAAAGGAAATGAATGTGTAGGGTAATAATAGCTAGGTATTTTGGTAAGTAGTGGATGACAAATTGGGTAGTTTAGTCCAACCCATTTTCAACTGCTGCTTTACCCAGAAATGCTCTGGAAAAAATCATGTAATTTCAAAAGTGGGGCCCGCAAAACGTCAAAACGATAATGAAAAATTTGGAAAGAATGGGGCCAAACAAGAGCTGAATGTATTTATTTGAACAAGAGTCAATTATATGAGTATCCATACTTTGAAAATTTTCCATTGAGATCTACAACGATAAGAACGATACTATTGAAGTTTTAAAACTAATTTTGTGTGATTTTGAGGTATTATATAATGTCAGAATTAACTAATACTTTACTTATAGAAGTTTCACTATTAGATTAATATATTATTCTTTTTATAATGTTTTCAGTGAAATAATTTTCAAGTTACGTTGTTTAAGGATACAATCGAAAAGTTCATTTTCATGCTTGAGAAAGGAAAAATATATCGACTTTGGAATGAAAAATAAGAGCAATCGACATTTATTTAACATTTTCACATTATATACATAATTACATAAAAAAAAAACTTTTATTCATTGAAAAATATTATGCATATCATTTATTCGATACATACGGCGTGCTTGGAAAGTATAATTTTATCAAAATGAAATGAAACCCAAACAGAGACCATGTATTTATAATTTTCAAAATAATATATTTCTCAGAGTTTATCTACTTGTACATAATTTGATGTATATCAAGGTATCCATCCTCTTACATGAGGGTGGGATCCACTTGAATAAAAAATATTTTTTCCAAGTGAACCCCACCCCATGTGAGGAGGTGGATACCTTGATGTACACTAAATTATGTACAAGTAGCAAGACACTATTTCTAAATCAATTGAGAATCTCGTTTCAACTACCTAGAGAATATATTTCATTTAGTTACTCTATAAAAAGAATGACAAGATTTGCAATTCCTCGAGAATTACTGAATTAGAATCAATTTTTTTAAAATTCTTTTTCTATATCAACTTTCATGAAATCTTGGCAACCTGTCTCAAATTTGGAGAAAAAAAATTGGAGCCGAGGACTATTAGTTAATAATAAAGCTAGCTGTATAAACATAGATGACAACCACTTGGTGTCAAAATATGAGCATTTGATATAAAAAATATTTTTAAAAACAATCATGCTACAAGTACATTGTTTTTGACATCAAGTTTGACATTGTGTCACATGTTGCAGCACGATTGATCAGTTTGAAAATACAACACACTTTCTCGCCACTGTATTTTTGAATTTGTAAAGGAGTGTCAAAATCTATGTACACAAGGAGTGTACAAGGAGCATAATTCTTTTAAAAATGAATGAATATGATGCTATTGAATAGAATGTTATTA